GGTTCCAGCGAGTAGACTCATTAGATGATTCTATCTTATTGTTTTCTGAAGTAGATATTCCTACTGATAAATTCGTCTATCGTGGAGAATTCGAAACGTTATACCCCGGACAACTAACAATTGAACTTCTCAATCAAAAACATAATCAACGTTCAATATGGTATCAGATTAAACAAAATAATTTGCCTGCATGTCGTTTGTTTGATGGCATAGTCAGTTCATATTATACTGACGATCTTGCACAAAAAGAGCGTATTGATATAAGTGATTTCATCGGCAAACTTGATACGAAAGTTTTTCCATTTATTGACAAATTACTAGATGGCAAAATAAACTTGTCTGACATGACTGATCTTGAAGGTATTTTTTGCGGCGAGAACATTCATATTCCATATGAAGTCACGAAACTATTCACGAATCGATTAACACACGAGGTACAATATCCAACAACAACAACACTAAACAATGAACAGATTGATCAAATTTGTGAAAGACTGCAAATCTTCCAATACTACAGCCATATTAAGACTGTTATTAATTGTATTAAAATATTTGACATTATTTCAGAAACAGATGATACTAATACCATCAACAATCTTGAACAATTGAGTAGCAATAAACAGTGTTCATTAGAAAATATCTCTCGTGATTATGGATTTTTAACACAAGAATTTCAAGGTATTAGTAGTAAACATTTAGATTTAATTAAAACAGCAAAAGAATGTTGCACTATTATCGAATTAATGAAGGAATTCGATTTATATTCTGATAAGGGGCGACAAAAATTTCAAGAATTACGAGACAATTTGACCATACAATTTCAATTACAAGAACGCAATAATATTATGTTAAATTCATTTATCATCACCTATACATTATGCGAACCATTTGTTCTCAAAGCTAAAACATTGAAAGAATTTATTGATCGCGTTGTCCATTTAGTCGATTTCGATACAAATTCACTTCAGCACATGAAAGGTAAAATTGTTTCTAGTACTTCATACACCAGATAGCTGTGGAAGACATCCATACCCTCATCTGTCCTTAGGATTTATAAGAAAATATCTTTACTTATTTTGTAGTTGTAAATGGTAATGCGCAAATCATTCGTATGTGGTTATCGACAGAAGAAGCAACAGTTTTTGATAATGCCCTTGTTGTAATGGCACATTTATACAAGACAGGTGAAGTTACTATTCGTCTACGACATCTATTGCATGAGGAATCTTCCCTTAAAATCAATTATTTAATCGATAAAATTCAACCTAAAACAGTTAGTGCCCAGATTACTAATGAAGAAACAAATGACAAGAATGAAGAAGAACAAAAAAACAGTGATAGTAGTGACGACGAAGAAGAATCTAAAACAAACAAAATGAAAATCACTGTATCCATGTTCGATTTCGACATTGATGAACATAAACGTCAATTAACATTTTGCAATGTAGATTTACCAGCGAATATGTCTCACATAAAAATTCTGTTAGATGAACAATTGAAATTATTAAAACTTATTGGAAATATCTATTCAACTTTCATCAAATTAGAAATGAGCGGTCATCCAAACTATCAACTAACAAACAAACGTTACAAAATTTACAATCCGAGAAGTAAGAGAACTTAAATCTCTCTTCTTAGTTATTCTGCACTAACTTTCTACTTTAATTAGATCGTATCAATACAGTATTCTTTACACCGAGAGAAAATCAATATGTAGACCAAGTAGAACTACAGGATGTAGTTCAGTCTCGAACAACATACCTCACTAATATTTCAAATAGACTTCAACGAGAATACGATGATTGGATTGATAGATTAGAAAATTGGAGAAATAAAAGTCATTTTTTGAAATTATTTTCCAATCGTCAAATCA